ATTTGTGTCCAATGCAGTGCAAATCTTAAACAGAGGGGGGCTCCGAGGCTGTGATTTTAACGATGCAAAAACTGATTAGTTGATATTTACTTACTTGGCTATGATCATTGTATTGTTTAGCAATTTTTGTTTTTTTTTTTTGGCGTTCAGTCCATGATTGCAACCTTGATTATCCGTCGTGTTTCATCTCAAGCTCCATTATAGTTTGGGTTTCCACTTTCCATTATAGTTTTATCAAGGGTTAAATATCAAAAACCCCCCTGTGGTTTGCCTAATGTTCACTTTACCTCCCTATGGTTTGGAAACCTACAATTTGACTCCCTGTCGTTTCAACTAAAGTAAAAGCCTAACGGAAAACATCTAAACTAACGTCTGAAAGAAAAATGTCAAAATTGCCCCTCTATAAGGGTTTTGCGTTAAGTACCAAAAACTCCCCTGTGGTTTGTCAAATGTACACTTTACCTCCCTATGGTTTGAAAATATACAATTTAACTCCCTGTCGTTTCACCTAAAGTGAAAATCTAACAGAAATTTCATTAAATGCACTTTAGTTGAAACGACAGGAAGTCAAATTGTAGGTTTCCAAACCATAGGGAGGTAAAGTGAACATTAGGCAAACCACAGGGGAGTTTTTGGTATTTAACCCTTTTATCAAAATGTTGCTGGAAAACCTCTTGTTGCATTGCTAGTCAGATTCTTAACCACAGCCACAGTTGATTGATTCTGTGCTTTACACCGAGAGGACAAAAGCATGGCAACATTCAAAGGGAAAAAAAAATAACCGTTTAATTGGAGAGGAAAAGATGATAAAACATACTTAGTATCATTTAATAGGATTTGGATCATCCATTGCATTGCCGTAGAAAACTATGTGGTAAAAGAGAGGGCTTACAACTTCCAACCTACGAGAGATTGCAGTAGACATACATATTATTAAAATTGTCAAGTGGCCAAAAGACGCATAAATTAATTTATTAAATAACGAATTCGGCATGCGCAATCGCGCATTGCTAAAAGTGGTGGAAAAACATATCCTATAATGGCAGGGTAATCATATGCTTGTACGAGTATTATATTAGGATAATATGATGTGGTTTGATTGGTTGTATACGTATTTAGTCATTGTTGATACCAAGAATTTCCAAAACAAAGTGGAGCATCATTATTCTTTTGCAACTTTTATTTGTTTATTTACTCAACTACTCTCCTCTCACCTTATTCAAAATTTAGCAACTTTAATTTGTTTATTTACTCAACTACTCTCCTCACACCTTACTCAAAATTAATTTGTTTATTTTCTCTTTCTCACTATCTATGTTTTCAGTTCTTTTTTTTTTTTTTTTCTAAATGCTTATGAGGTAGGTGTGATAAAGACGCTAGAATGAGATACACGCAACTTGAAATGTATTTTCTGTTTTTCTTTTGCAGGCTAAACAACAATATGATGGTCCTTGTTGGAACAACTGATGTTACATTATTGATTTTGAGGCACATAAACACAACACAGCAGAACATTTGGGGAAATGGGAGGAGCATAACTAAAACAAACACTGTAATTTCCAAAGTGATTTATTGTGATGCCTTAGTTGTAATGACAAATCAATTTTAAAATCCTTTCATATTTGAAAACTTGATGGATGTGTTTTTTAAGTAAAAAAAAATTATAAGTTTAGAGTTAAGAAATCCTTTAACAAATCTTATCTATAATTTGGAGACAAAATTTTAAATTGAAAAATCATAAATAGTTAACAAAGTATGTAAAAACTATTTGAATTATTGTAAAGATGTGGAAAATAACTTTTTTTCATCTTCTAAACATCTCAAGTAAACTCTAAATGTAATTTAAAATTTTTTTACTTTTCTAAAATTTCAAGCCATTGATTCAAATAAATAAAACTTACAGATTCTAAACCATTCATAAAATTTATTAAATTCAATCAAAACATTTTACATAAAAAGAAATATTTTTCTCATTTGATAATCTAAGGGCATGTGATAAACATATGGATAAATAAAGGTTGGACATATGCTGAAGTTTTTAAATTATAACTAGCCTCCTAAATTACAACACTTTTGTAGAAGAAATCTGCATTTTTGTCAAAATATAACAACAATAATATCAAGTTTATTTCTTACTATGTGACCTTAGAGTACCAAATAGACAAACCTTGAACGAAAAAAATTACTTTGGAATTTGATAACGTGTTAAATAAAATTTTATTATTTGTTTGTACTTTAAAAAAGTATATTGTTTATGGTTGCAATTATTAAATGTTGTTCCTTTAAGAAAAGAACATTTTCATGCTTTTTGTACTTATAATGCCCTGAGATTGCAATTTTGTACTTATTTTTAACATAAGATTATTATTGGAAAGAAATTATTTCTCTTTCTTAATTGAGTATTTTAATCATATAATTTGAATTGGATTGAAAATGTTACAAAAATTTAAAAATAGAGAAGGCAAGTAATATTTTTAAAATTTTAAGAATGCTAAGTGAAATTATCAAAAACCTCAGGAGAGGTTTCTCAAATTACCCCTATTAGTAAAGGAAGAAATGAAGAAGACAACAAATGTCTCGTACCGTGGAGCAAATGCCATGGCGTCTGTGTTTGTGCAACACAGACGGGCTCTCAAACAGTTCCCCGTTGGTGTTGCATTGCCAATCTAAAACTTTGATAACAACCGTACTACAAATTCCACTTGGCTTGTAAGCAATAAGCTGGGACATGGTTGCAAATTTGGCTTTACAGATTTCGCACCTCCAAGTCATGGCGATCTGTTCTTTGTTTTCTTATTTATTTCTTTCACTTTGAATTGGGGTAAGAGCTGAGTGGGTTGAGATTCTAACTTGGTTATCTATACTATATATAATTTTTTTGGGAAGGTGTTGTGTGTGTGTGTGGGGGGGGGCGGGGGGAGAGGGGGGAGGGCCTCCCATTTGGTGTAAACAATGCATGTCACTTAATGTTAAATAACAAATGTAACATCTAAAATTAGTTTTTGAATTATTTAAGTTCCTTCTTTTCTTTAGTCGTCTCAATTCTCAAACACAGCTATTCACAACCTCGCTTGTTCTTTACCATGATTTTCTATGCAATGGCTGCCTTAAAAAAAATTAGAGTAGTATTTATAGATTTGAAAAAAAAAGGCACATATATGCTCTAAATGATTCTATAAGTATAATAGCTTACTGTGGAAAGAAAAAAATTAATTATAGATTTTTAGAATAAGCACATATATAGAATGTGCTAAAAGCACTAGTTTGTGTTTAATCTTGAGCTCCTAATTTGGGTATTCACTTTTCATTATAGTTTTATCAAGTCAAATCAGATTTAGGATAGGTTTGATAAACCTAAAGTCTGAAAACTAAAGTTTAAAATCTGAAATCTGAATTCATTAACTTTCTAGTCAGCTGAAATACCTGCCCTTCTTCCTCTCCTCCTCAATTCTCAATCTCCGTCCACTTTGAACCTTCCTTCCTTCCTTGTGAATTTTCTTTTCTGTTTTTTTCTGTTCGGGGAGGGGGCTGGAGGTTCAATCTCCATCATCATTTTCTTTCATTTACTCACCTTACTACACATTCCACTTGGTTTGTGAGCATCAAGTTGAGACATTGTTGTAAATTCGGTCTTACAGATTTGGCACCTCCAAATCATGGCAAGCTTTTTTTTTTTTATGTCTGTCTTTCAGTTTGAATTGGGTAAGAGCTGAGTGGGGACGATAGAAAATGCTTGATATCTATGCTATATATAATTGGATTGCCTAGACCAATTTTTTTTAGGTCGATTAAGCTTTACACAAGTGGTCTCAAGATTGGATGGTTTCACTAGGAATTGTCATTACTAGATTATTACCATATTCTTCTTGTTCTTTTCTTTTTGTTAAACGAAGCTAAAGGAATATGTGCCTCATACGCTTACAGTTTTAGCATCTGTTTATCCTCCAATAGGCATTTTATTTTTCAGTGAATGAAGTGACTTGCCGAGGAGAGATTTTGTTTTTTTCACCTCAACCCTATTCTTAAAACGCCAAATGGAAAGAAAAAGATTCATACTACTTTATTAACCGACAACCTTTTTCGACTTCTGTAATTGACATTATTACTTCTTTTTTTTTTTTTTTTGTAAGCAACATTATGAATTCTGTGATTAGCTATCTTTTTGGTAAATACATCTCAGCCTGTTAGCTTCCCAGCTGCCATGTAGGAGCCTTGAATAATCGGGTTGGTTGAGTTGGTGACATAATTTATTATCACTAGGTATTGGTTGGAGTTGGTCAATTTTGATCTTGATCGGTGACGGTGCTCAAATTGAAGGAAAAAAAAATCAGCTAACACTTCTGACAGCGCATCATAATTTATTTTGTCAAATTTAGATATATAGACACTATAATATAGATTTATAGACATTATCATAATTAGATGGGGTGGAATATATGTCCAGTTAATTTGGAAATTGTGGACCATCTAATTCGTTCAATTACAAACCTATTTAGTAAGTCCAATAATGGTACAAGTATTAATGCGTTATTATTACATTCACCTACCAGCCTACCATTTAAGTATTGATACGTAACTATTTATTTCATGAGGAACGGGTTGGGTGATTCGGGATAGGGAGTGTGATTGAGAGGTCTCGAATTTGAACGTTCCTGCTTGTATTAAAAAAAATTAAAAAAATATTATACATGTGTTTATCTAAATTAGACGTACACACAATTAATTTAGACACTTTTTATAATTTTATTTTGTTTTGTATTAAAAGATTAATATCTGAATCTCCTCTTTGGACAAACAGCTATATACTAGCCTTTCTAGTAAAATTTGTGAGTTGAAACACTGAATTCAGGTTATGATTTCATACTGGGTTAGGTTGTGCTGGAATCATACGCACTAGGTAGCATGTAGCAGGATGAGAAGAGCTACACTTGTAGGTTGTTGCTAGTGATCGAATTCCTGTTAAGAAGAGAATGCAGAAAAGACTAACATGCCTTTGTTAATTTCGATTTGCTATGGCTAATAATGTTAGTTAGCTCATGAGATTCTTGATTGTAACTTTGGATCAGGTGACATATTTCAAGTGTGGTGGAGTCTCTCTTGGTGTTGGCATGCAACATCATGCAGCTGATGGATTTTCAGGTCTTCATTTCATCAATTCATGGTCTGATATGGCCCGTGGCCTTGATGTGACCCTGCCACCATTCATAGACCGCACCCTCCTCCGTGCCCGCGATCCGCCCCAGCCTCAATTCCAGCACATTGAGTACCAACCCCCTCCAACCTTAAAAGTTTCCCCGCAAACTGCAAAATCTGACTCAGTTCCTGAAACTGCAGTGTCCATCTTCAAGTTAACCAGGGAGCAAATCAGTGCCCTGAAAGCCAAGTCCAAGGAAGATGGAAACACCATTAGCTATAGCTCCTACGAAATGTTGGCAGGCCATGTATGGCGCTGTGCTTGCAAGGCACGAGGACTCGAAGTTGATCAAGGAACAAAATTGTACATTGCTACTGATGGACGAGCAAGACTTAGGCCTTCGCTCCCGCCTGGCTATTTTGGCAATGTCATCTTCACGGCAACCCCGATAGCTATAGCTGGTGACCTTGAATTCAAGCCAGTCTGGTATGCTGCAAGTAAAATCCACGATGCATTGGCGAGGATGGACAACGACTACTTAAGGTCAGCTCTTGATTACTTGGAATTACAGCCTGATTTGAAGGCCCTGGTTCGTGGTGCCCATACTTTCAAGTGTCCAAATCTGGGGATCACAAGCTGGGTAAGGTTACCCATCCATGATGCTGATTTTGGCTGGGGTCGGCCCATATTTATGGGTCCTGGTGGTATCGCTTATGAAGGTTTAAGCTTTATATTGCCTAGTCCAACCAATGATGGAAGCATGTCAGTAGCTATTTCATTGCAGGGCGAGCACATGAAACTCTTCCAGAGTTTCTTGTATGACATTTGAACGGGAGCACATCACATGAATTTTCACGCTTGTATTAATAGCTTTCGGGTCCGGGCCAGCTATTCATGCGGTGGTGGTTTCTTGAGTAATTGTTTAAGCTTATGAAGAACCACTGTTCTGTTTTGTACCTACGTGGACAATAATTCTTGTCTAAGTTCCTTGTGCATGTAATGATGATGAAAGGATAAGGTTCATTTCATTTTATTGTTTTGTCATTTAAGTTCTAAAGCTGTAATCTTTCTAACTTCACAAATTCGTTAGTTATTGTTTCTTTTTTAGTATTTGATGAATTTAGGACGGTTGATGAGATGAAAATATTCTGTCCAAATGTGCAGGCTTGGCCAAGTAATGTCTGAAGAAATTTTAAGCTGAATTACCAATCAGCGAAGGATCAAGTGTTGTATGGTTCCGCAGTTAAGATTTTGACCAAAGAATTAGCAAAACCATCCCTCGAATTCGCATCTATGGGTGCGACAGGAAAAAAAGAAAAAGAAGAAGAACTCCAAACCAGTGGCATAACCAACATTCATATGAAAAAATTGGAGATGAGCCAAAATTAAGAGCTCATGCGACAGTCTGCTCAAGGAAGAAACTTAGTAGTCCAAATCATAAATAGCTGAAGACAGAGAAGTGGTGGAAACTTCTGTGGTTATACTCCAGGGAGCATTTAGGCAACGAGATGAGGTAAAATAAGAAGCAAAAATAAGCCAAACGGGCTTTCTAGGACTGATGCTGCAGCCTTCTCACCAGGCCTTCGATGGACTACATTTGCACCGCCATAGGTTCCCCTCCCTCTCTGTGCCATCTCTGTATCGGTGGTGTGATCCTTTGCACCACCATAAGTATGGAGACTGAAATTGCCACTGCTATATGTTCCTGCAAACAGTACAAAATCAGGCTATTTCAAGCAACCGTTAAAAAACACAAAAAGGAAAAAAGTAACTTACCCTGTTTTTCTTGGGCTACTGGCGGAAGTTTTTTGATCTTGGGATCTTTATTTTGGAGTGTAGGAACTTCATCAAGAGACAAGCTACACAGGAATAATTGAGAACACAGCAAGGTGAAGAACCATAACAAGTAGCCTTTCCTCATCTCCCTTTCTATCAGTCCTGGATGTTTCTTCCTAGCTTTGAGGGGAATACCCTTCCTTTATCTTTGTTTATTTACTGCTGGTTGAGGCTACCTGGTTTATTTGCCGCTGTGGGTCAAATAGAGTTCTTTGCTTGAAGGAAATGGTTTTACGCTTTTCTCTTCAGGAATGAGGAAGTTATATATAGTGGCTAGTGGTTATCTTTCAATGGTGATCAAATTCAAAATATTCTCCACAAAGTGAAAAAATTTTAAAAAAAAACTGCAAAAACGTGGTTCCTCCTTTTTCCCCTAAAAAATAGTATTAATATTAAAGAGCGGCCCGAAGCATTGGAGCATCCTGTCTGCAGATCTAACTGTAGTGCCATTTTCCTCCTTGTGGAAGTATTCGTTTTAACTGTGCCTACACCAAATTGCCTTGACTGTTTACAATGGAAATGAGAGTATAATTTGTAGGATATAACTGTTACCACCGCATCTTCCTAAGACAGATCTGCGAGAGTTCGATCATCTTTCACTAGTTTCTGGCGACAAGCTTACTGCCTTTGAGTAGCTGTAAAGAGATGCCAAGGCGAATATTTAGCTGATTAGAATACAAGAATGCATCCATCTTGAGGGTCCCTTAATTAACTAATCCATTCAGGAGGGAATGTGATTCCATCATCTTCTCTTTAGCTTTAGAAGTAACTACAAGATGCTAGTCGATGTGAGAAACAAGTAGTACCTTGGAAGCTAATGAAAATCATTTTAATGTCAAAATCCTGCAACAGTCGCCCATAATGAAAAGGAAACTTCATCTAATACCCCATTAATGAGAATTGGAGATGAAAGCAGTTCAAAATGATCTTATATTACCCAAAACTCTAAAGATGTGGAGTTTGCTATTTTGCAACCTGGTTTCTGCTCAGCACTGTCGGCAGCATTTCAAGCAAAACTTGTTACGTAATTAATGGTACATTGTATTCTCGTCTCTGTAGATTTTGAGTTCCCAAGCAAATATGAAGATGATCATGGTGGTCTTACTAATCATCATTCAATCTCAGAACCCGACTGACAGGCCGTCTACAGCTTCACCATATAATTGATAAAAGGAAAAGAGTTCAGACGATCCCTGTTGACTTATTCAATGGTAATTGCATCCATCATCTAGAAAACAGATCAGTGATTAGAAAAGCTAATGAAAGCATAAGATGTGATCACTGAACACTTGATGAAAGCAGAAAATGTCCGAGATTCAAATTACAGGCAACCAAGCTGTAAGTTGATTACGATTGCACTGATTGAGTTGTAAGTGCTGCAAAATAGAAACCAAACAGGAATGTGTTGAAGTGAGGGAATCTCAAAGTAGCCGCGCAACTAAGATGTAAAATCAATAGAAGATTTCTTAAAAGCCTAGATTCTGAGGTCTCGTAGGAGTCCCAAAATTGCAGCAGACCTGCGCTCCATTGGGAGAGAGAAGGATTTTGTCTGCTCTCATTATTTTTTGAGTTGTCATATTATTATTTGTGATTATTGTTACTTCTTTGGGTTGAGACTTTTAAGAGTCTCATGATGGCTCATCATGTTTCAAAGCATATTGTGAAAGTCCACACAGAAAAAGAAGTTGCAGTGAATCTAAAATGCAGAAGAAATCAGAAATCAGACCCCAGTCAATTACAAAAAGAGGAAACTTTTATTATGAAGGACCTAAAGATCTACATCTATTACAGCTTTTAATCTGCCGCTCCCAACTGTTTCTGTCACTCCCAATTTTTGATACTACTATCATACAATAAAAACAGAAAAATAAAAAGATATGCGCGGGTGAAACAGAAAATCATAAACAGGCCATTTCAGCAAGAACTTTTAACTCTTCAATCAACTTCCTCAATCTTAGGCCCAGGACCATTGCTACCACTATCAGCTGTGCCACGACCAGCTCCAGGCATATCAGCACCTCCGCCCATCGGCACATCTCCACCAGCACCCTGGTACATTTTAGCAATAATTGGATTGCAGAGCGCTTCCAGCTCTTTCTGTTTGTCTTCAAACTCATCCACTTCAGCCAATTGGTTCCCGTCCAACCACTCGATTGCCTCATCAATTGCCTTCTCAATTTTCTGCTTGTCAGATGGATCCAATTTCCCAGCAAACTTCTCATCTCTCACAGTGTTTTTCATGTTGTAAGCATAGTTCTCCAAGGAGTTCTTGGCTTCTACCTTCTTCTTGACTGCCTCATCTTCAGCCTTATACCTTTCGGCTTCCTGGACCATTCTCTCAATTTCATCCTTGCTCAATCTTCCCTTGTCATTGGTAATAGTAATCTTGTTCTTCACACCAGCGGTCTTGTCTTCGGCAGACACGTTCAGGATACCATTTGCATCAATGTCAAAGCAGACATTAATCTGCGGTACACCTCTTGGAGCTGGTGGAATGCCACTTAGCTCAAATTTACCGAGAAGATTGTTGTCCTTGGTCATTGGCCTCTCTCCTTCATACACTTGGATTAGCACTCCAGGCTGGTTATCAGAATAAGTGGAGAAAATCTGCTCTTTCTTGGTCGGTATGGTGGTGTTTCTCGGAATCAATACCGTCATCACTCCACCAGCAGTCTCAAGTCCAAGACTGAGAGGGGTGACATCAAGAAGCAACAAATCTTGAACTTTTTGATCTGTTTCTCCACCCAAAATTGCTGCTTGAACAGCAGCTCCATAAGCCACAGCCTCATCAGGATTAATACTCTTGCAAAGCTCTTTACCATTGAAGAAATCTTGCAATAGTTGCTGGACTTTTGGTATCCTTGTCGATCCACCAACAAGAACCACATCATGAACATGGCTCTTGTCAACTTTAGCATCCCTCAAGCATTTCTCCACGGGCTCCATGCACTTCCTGAACAAGTCCATGTTCAACTCCTCAAATCTTGCCCTTGTAATTGTAGCATAGAAATCGATCCCCTCGTACAAAGAATCAATCTCAATCGTGGTCTGTGCAGTGGATGAAAGCGTCCTCTTTGCCCTTTCACATGCAGTCCTCAACCGCCTCAAAGCCCTAGCATTACCACTGATATCTTTCTTGTTCTTCCTCTTAAATTCTTGAACAAAATGATTGACAAGCCTATTATCAAAATCTTCACCACCCAGATGTGTATCTCCCGCTGTGGCCTTGACTTCAAATATCCCTTCCTCAATAGTCAGCAGTGAGACATCAAAAGTTCCACCACCAAGATCGAATATCAGGACATTCTTTTCGCCGGTTCTTGAGCCCTTCTTGTCCAAGCCATAAGCAATAGCAGCAGCCGTTGGTTCATTAATGATCCTCATCACATTAATCGCAGCAATCGCGCCAGCATCCTTTGTCGCCTGCCTCTGAGAATCATTGAAATAGGCAGGCACAGTGATCACAGCATTCTTCACAGTTTGCCCCAAGAAAGACTCAGCAACCTCCTTCATCTTCGTCAAGACCATCGAAGAAATCTCCTCGGGAGCAAAGTGTTTCTCCTCGCCCTTGTACTGAACAACGATCATGGGCTTATCACCTGGGCCAGCAATCACCTTAAACGGCCAATGCCTCATATCAGCCTGGACAGAAGGGTCAGAGTAGCGACGTCCGATAAGTCGTTTGGCATCGAAAACAGTGTTCTGAGGATTCATAGCAACCTGATTCTTAGCTGCATCACCGATTAACCTTTCAGTATCGGTGAATGCAACATAAGAAGGGGTTGTTCTGTTGCCTTGATCATTCGGGATGATCTCAACTCGATCATTCTGCCACACCCCGACACAACTGTAGGTTGTGCCAAGATCGATGCCAATAGCCTTGCCTTCACCTTTTGCTGCCATTTCAGCAACAAAGAATTAACTTAAACAAGTCAAGAAACGAAGAATTAGCTCAGGTCGATAAGAGATCAAGAAAGAGAATTTCTTGGAAAAGGCGGAGTTTTTAGATTTTCTTGAAAAGGTGTTGGTTGTCAGATTGGTCTTCTTTCTTATTGGTCTCGGATGCAGGAGGACTAACGAGGTGTTGGTGTATATATACAGGGTTGAGGGGTGGGGTCGGGGGGATTCGAGAGATGGCTGGAGGGAGGAACACGAAAGCAGGAAACTGGAGGGATCGGGAAAGAGCGAGGTTGAGCTGGAAGCAGGAGTCCTTTTTTTCAAAATATCGTTGGGGACTGAGGGAAAATCAGAGA